TATTTCCTTAGTTGGACTATCAGCCTCATTGTCCTGGAGAGGCTGTTCAGTTTTATTCTTCGATATAGTCTCAGGCAGATCCCCAATGTTGCAGAAAAACCTAACATACATTGAACAAGTGTAGGAAGAAATGAGAGATAACATTAAAAGCTGTGTGCATTAATCTAATCATGTTAAAATGTTACAGTTTTACTGAAAGAGGAAATGATGAACATATGTTAAAATTATGGACACACGCTGAAATAACTTATTACAAATTAGTGAATTATAACCTCTAGAGCTATGCTTTCTTACAACTCTTAATAGTTTTATTTATGTAATAGGTCAAAACACAATAGTTAATATTTATTTTTAGGTTAAAAAAAATAATCTAAGAATCAGATGATGCATTTTAATACAGATTCTAAAGACATGAGTGTACTCATTCAACCAGAACGCCAGGAGATAAATCAAATAAATATGCTGAACACATTGCAACATAAATGCAAATCTACTTTGTCATAGATAAGTAGAATCTTCAACTATAACACTGAAACATGCTTTCTAACTTCATTATATGGTCCACCTCCATAGTGAAATAATAAATAGCTTTATATGAACATACCATGCATATTAGTGTTTGGCGGCATAGCCTTTGTTTATTTCTTACAATTAAGAAAAATATACTTTGTGATTCTAAGCTATATAACCTTTTTGGTTTGTTTTTTTCATACACATGTATAACACCAGAAATAGATAGGAGAAAATATTGCCCGTGTCTAATGAGGGCGCATTTTTTTTTTTTTACTAAAAGAGCAATTTTTTAAAAATGATCAAATTCTAGTAAAATGTTTAAAGTTTGTGGGTTAAAACAAATGTTCATACCCTTCAAGAAATGTGCTTCAGCAAATGAATGATTAATGGCAACTTTAAGATGTGTAGACTTCAACTCCCAGAATTGGAAGAAGCTTCCCGGCTAGGAAATTTGGGGAGTTGAAATCCACACACCTTAAGATAAGAGAAATAGTGGTTGTAGACACTGCAATTCCCAGAATTCTCAGCCAGCACATTCTCACCTGGAGAGCTCTAGTTTGAACAAAGTAGCTGTGATATTAATTATATTTGCTAATGTATTGTGTAGTCCTGATTAGATCATCTGATTTTACTGATAGTGTTTAAGGTTGTTGTTGTTTTTTTTTAAAAAAAAAAAGATTTTATTTTTTTTAAATAACTGAAACTGCTGGAACCCAATTTAAAGACACATACCTGCTTCTGGTTCCTGGTACAACAACTGCACCATTTTTTTCATTCTCCTTCTGCAGAATAGTGGCAAATTTATTTCTAAGCCTGGGCTGAACACAAGACTTGTCCTTGTTTTTGCAGGAGTCCTGGGAAGTACAGACTGCTGATGTTCCATCAAAAAGCTGCTGGTTCTCATCGTATTTTTCTGTTTTGGTTTTTTTTGAATTTGAAAAATACTGGCTCAACAGTTCTTCTTCTGATGCTTCTTCTAAATATATAAAAGATGAATTAAGTTTAATTATATCAGATCTACATCAGAATTTTTAACAGATTGATACTAATAGAGTAGACCATACTGTAGCTGTATTCTCGTTTACCACAAGAGAAAAAGAAAAAAGTTAAAAGAAGTAAACAAATTGTTTGTTTTAACGTAGGTGTTCTTTGGGTGATATATAGAAAAAATATATAAGGAATTAAGAAAGATGCTATAGGTAAATGTTTATTCTTTCCTAACCATTGTATTGAGCATTTAAGATTCAAGTGCTAAAGGTAAAGTTAGAATAAGACTTTGGTTTGTTTTTTGTGTGTGTGTGTGTGTGTGTGTTTAAAAATGTAGCAATCATACCATGCCTTGGTCTTTTTGCCACTAGCATTTTGCTAGGAAGTTTGAGTCCTTTTAAGTTAATTAGCCGCTCAATCCCTCGGGTAGTGGGTTTCTCTAACAAAGGTGTTGAATTTGTGACGATTTTCGTAGTAAAGCAGGGGTTATAGTCCTTGTTCCAAATACTCTTTAAATAGGGTGACTTCTCATGAGTATAACTGCTATGGCTTCTTCGTTGTACAGGCTATACCAAAAGGACAGAAAGAAAAACATAAAGTTATATCACTCTCTGTTTCTCTAAATTACATGCAGTGTTTCTCAACCTTGGCAACTTTACGATGTGTGGACTTCAACTCCAAAAATTCTCCAGATAGCAACACTAGCTGGAGAATTCTGGGAGTTGAAGTCTACACATCGTAAAGTTGCCAAGGTTGAGAAACACTGCGACTAGAGCTAACTTCATTACTAATTCAGAGTTTTCTCAATCATGTTTTGGTACCTTGCCATTGGACACTGAACAAAGGGAATCTAGGATAGTGATCAAGCCTACCTAAAAGATTGATTGTTGCAATCTTTTCAAGTCATGTATGCTTTAACACCTTTCTGATTGAGAAACCCTTGAAATACAGCTGCCTATGTGATAATGACTTTAGTTATACAATGGCTTTAGCTTTTCCAGATTATGTACTGGCCAACACTGGTTTAACTCTTCTCCATATTATGTCCTACAAAGACCTTCGGATCCTTTTCTTTTGTGCTGCCTGAACTGTTGCCAAATATGAACCCAGGAGTTTCCATTTGTGAAATTTATATTGCTGGGTCTCTGTCCATTGCCCCGGTTTGTCAAAATTCTCCCGACTTTTAAATTTATTTTTGACATTAACCCAAACTTTATTATTAGAAATTGAACAACAAAATATATAGTAACACTAAATATCAACAAGAGAATATATAGCTAATTGCTTTATAACGTGAACAATAATCTATCTGATCTTATTTGAATACAGTTTTCCCTTAGTTATCAGGACTGAACTAAAATTTGGAACTTTGGGGGAATTTCTGAACATTTACTAATTACAAAAGAAAATATTCCTTTCCATAGGATAGCTGCAGTGATTAGCAAGCAAGAGTGACATGACTTCTGAGCAGCATGTATTATAGAATGGCCAGTTCAATATGTGTAATGTTGGTTTTTAAAAAAAATCATAATAAACACAACTTCAACATGTGCGATGTCAATTCAACCATACCCTCTATACATATTTATTCTTAGAAGAGACTGTTATGCCTTTTTTCAAAGCCGATGTTGGTAAAGCGTTCAGTCTAGTAAGAGTAAAATGCTCATCTGTGAGGAGTGAAGATGAATATTGAAATACATAAAGTATATTTCATCTCTGAACCTTGCTAGTGTTTTCTAACCTGGTTTGTATTCCTTTTCTTTAGGAATTTTCTCTGCAAATCTGATAACTTTAGGTACTTTATCTAAACCAGTGTTTCTCAACCTTGACAATTTTAAGGCATGTGGACTTCAACTCCCAGAATTCCACAGCCAGCAATTGTCAAGGTTGAGAAACACTGAAATTCTAAACCATGTATAAAGATGCTGAACAACACAGGGCCTAAACTCGTAGTATTTTAGTCAAAACTTTTTTCCAGCTTAAACTGAAGCCATCAATATATGCCTGTTGGGTACAATTGTTTAATTCTGTATCCATCCAAAAGTAGAACAGACCAGTCCCAATTTTGTCACATCTCATGGAAGTCAAGTTATATTATGTCTGCCTCTTTCTTTTGGTGAACTAAACTGGACACGATCAAAAAAGGAAATCAGGTTGGCTTGGCGTAATTACTTTTAATAAAGTCACTGTTTTTTTCTAAGCAATTTTCTAAACCGACTACTGACTACTTAATAACTTCTCCTGGAGTGTTGTCTGGTATCAATATACATTTCCACCCCAGGCCACCCCAACGATGCCCTTGACGTGATGACCCGTTGCCTGGAGGCCGTACGGGTCTGGATGGGGAGGAACAGACTCAGGCTCAACCCTTCCAAGACTGAGTGGCTGTGGCTGCCGGCGCCTCGGCATAGTCAGCTGACTCCATCGCTGACTATAGGGGGTGAAATTTTGGCCCCCTCAGAGA